TTTTGATTTCATGTGGAATCCTCCATACTGTATTATGTACCGTATGATAACCTTTCATGTGGGGAACGTATCGAAACACACTTTGTAACAGGACACTGGGTTGATGTTTTTAAATATTGAGTGTGGTCGTTTCTGCATACTTACTTACTTACTTACGCTTGTTACTCTCAATGGAGCATAGGCCGCCGACCAGCATTCTCCAACCCACTCTGTCCTGGGCTTCCTTTTCTAGTTCTATCCATATTTTGTTCATTCTTCTCATGTCTGTCTCTATTTCTCGGCGTAATGTGTTCTATGGTCTTCCTCTTCTCCTTTGTCCTTCAAGATTCCATGTGAGGGCTTGTCTTGTGACGCAATTAGCTGATTTCCTCAAGGTGTGCCCAATCCACTTCCAGCGCTTCTTCCTAATTTCTTCCTCTGCTGGAATCTGGTTTGTTGTCTCCCACAGTAACTTGTTGCTGATAGTGTCTGGCCATCTGATCCGAAGTATCTTGCGTAGACAACTGTTAATAAACACTTGTATCTTCTGGATAATGGCTTCCGTAGTTCTCCACGTCTCCGCCCCATACAGTAGAACTGTCTTGACATTTGTATTGAAAATTCTAACCTTGGTGTTGGTTGACAATTGTTTTGAACTCCAGATGTTTTTCAGTTGTAGGTATGCTGCTCTTGCTTTGCCGATCCTCGCCCTCACATCTGCATCTGATCCACCGTGTTCATCAACGATGCTGCCCAGATATGTAAAGGTTTCCACATCTTCCAACGCTTCTCCGTCAAGTGTAATTTGATTGGTGCATATTGTATTGTATCGGAGAGTCTTGCTTTTCCCTTTGTTTATATTGAGACCTACTGCTGCTGAGGCTGCTGCTACACTGGTCGTTTTCTCCTGCATTTGTTGTTGCGTTTGTGATAGAAGAGCCAGATCATCCGCGAATTCTAAATCATCAAGCTGCATCCTGCCTGTCCACTGTATCCCGTGATTTCCTCCAGATGTTGACGTCTTCATAATCCAGTCGATGACCAGGAGAAAAAGAAAGAGTGAGAGTAAGCAACCTTGTCTAACACCGGTCTTTACCTCGAATGAATCGGTGAGTTGTTCTCCGTGGACGATTTGGCAGTTTAGTGCATCATAGGAGTTCCGTATGATATTGACTATCTTCTCAGGCACGCCGTAGTGTCGAAGAAGGCTCCATAGTGTCGTCCTGTCCACGCTATCGAAAAAACGCTAACCAGAAAAATCGTTTCTGCATGCCGTGGATTAATTCCATTAATCTTATTTATCAGTACCCTATCAATCTCCACGAATCACTAGTGTAACGAAGGCGAATTATTACTAAATATTCCAGTGTTCAGTATCACAACATCAAATTCGGTTTCCCATATTACGTCTCTCCGATAGCATCAATCTTGTTCCTTTGGAATTATTTTCACAATTCCTTTTTGTATGTGTAAGTTGATTGGTGTAAACTTATGTTATTCATTATAAGTAATGTGTCAAGTTGCTTGAATACATAATAATGATAATAATATTTGGATTTCAGCTTATCGACCATTAGAGACTATTCATGAATTAATAATCTCATTTAAACTTCTTCACTGTGAAACGTTAGTTAATAACTACAGAACTGTAAACTATGTAAATGTATTTAGTGGAATTGAATCTCATAAAATAATTTATCTAATCACTTAGAAGAACAAATGTTGGTTTTGACATATGAGTGAATATAAATATGACTTTGCTTTTTTGTTGCATTTTGTCCTTTTTACCAATATGACTTCGTTATTCTTTCCTTCGCATAATAATATATTTAGTGTATATCATATTTCTTTTTTTTTCTAAAGCTAAATTGACTTCATATATATTTTTTTAGTCAAAGTTTTATTATTTGAATTCATGAGTCGAATAAATTTAGACCACTATGAAAAACCTGGAAGCCATGTACGGTAGTTTCTTCCCATAATGGATCCTGTGTTCGCGTCCCTTTGGTGCGGGATCGTGGGTGCGCACTGCTGAAGTGTTCCACACTAGGCCAAAACGATCATTCAGTGGTTCCAGGTTCTCTATTATTGTCCAGCCATAATCGATTCTTAAATTCTACCATTAAATTACTGTCATCTTCACAAATCCCACTTTTTGATAATTCGAATTTTCCTTATATTTTTATTCTGGATTTTATCGGTTTAACCATTATTTTTATTTGCGACATTTTTTGTTCAATGATCGAATAATTTTCAATATCTTGTTCGAAAACTTGTATAGGCATAATCACCAACGGTTTCGTTTAGTGGTTATCAATTTTTTTTTGTATTTAACTATATGGCTTATATCTTTTCCTTTTTACTGAGGTACTTTTCTCTGCGGCTGGATGAATTCGAATATCTTCATATAGACTTCATGTAGACTTGGCTCTATGATTGTTTCAATGTTGTCCATAAGGGGTTTTCTTAAGATATTAATCGGTTTATTTCTGGTATATGACCAAATAATTATATATATTTATTAGATATTTTTCTTCTGTGATTGAATTTTATTAGAACAAATCAGTTGTCAGTTTCTTCGTTTACTATACTCTCTACAAACTTGCCAGGGATTTTACTCAAGGGTATCTGTAGCATGGCAAAATATTAAAAACTGTCTCTTCGGTTAGAAGAAATCTTGGCGAATCAACCGTATTTGTTTCATCAAATCTCGACAGCCAATTCTCAAAGTATGCACAACCCATTGAGATCGGTTTTAATGATTAATATTAATACACAGATAAATGTTTAAAATCCTATTTATTATGCTACAGATTCCTGGTATAGATTGAAAGGTAACTTTAATCACTACTATGAAATAAGTCCTCGTAACAGTCTTCGTTGAGTCATAACTATTACGCACATGACTGGTATGTTCCACTATAATTTTTGAGATCAATTCATATCTTATTGGGAAACTATGAACATTGATAAAAATGATACATTCACTTAAGACACAATAATCAAACAGAGCTGATAAATATACATAAGCTTATACGATGACAGCAACATATACAATACAGGAGATTTACCAGAGTTAATTCTTGTGTAATGAACAAGACACGTATGGTGGACAATCGGATGTATTTAAGCAAAAATTACAGACTGTGAGGATAGTCCACAGGTGAAGTCGAGGAAGCACTAGGAAGCCCAGAAGGAGCCCGACATGCTCCATCCAATCAGCTTTTGGAAGAATATTGCAGAATTGCCACGTGGAGCTTCCCTATTGGACAATGCTGACAACTCCCTGTCTGCGGATTGGATAACTATAATGATGATTTTGTTTCTACTAAAAACTATAAATACCTGATAATTTTGCACCATATTCGACACTATTTGGAATAACATTCCTTCAACTTGTCTTCTGTCTTTTGATTTGTGACTTGAGAGGGTCCCAGCGTTCGAGTGCTCAAGTATTGTGCTATAAACTAAGAAATCTAAGTTCGAGATACAACACAGACTATCTCACTAAATTCTGAAAACCATACAATGAACAGTTAATTTGCAAAATAATCATCAATTAAGTCAATCTTCACTGTTCCTGCTGTTAATATCAATCCATCTTCTCTAATTTCAGTGTTCATTCATTTTCCTACCAATCGCGCTTCATTTCAGTTCTTTCCTTATCGGTTTTCTGCCAAAATACATTCTATGTCAGACCAACACCTTATATTACTTATGTGGATATAAGTAGACCACAGCACACTTGTAAAAGACAGTTAAAAGCTATCATACTGTGATATCATAACTAGTGATAGACAGAGAGCCATATGTGAAATAATCTGATGAGTTCAGAAGTCGTTCAAAATAATTTTCCATCAATGTTATGTAATTTATCGGTAGTTGACCGGTAACGATCTGACAGAAAAACAACAATTAATTATGACAGAAAATTTATAAGTGATAAACTGATTTATTATCAGTAAAATATAGAAAAATGAAGAATATACAAATCGTGGATTGGTTGAAGTTAGACATTAACAACACCGGATTCCGGCTCAGTAGTCTGTCGGCTAAGTGCTCTGGCCCGAGACTGGCAGGTCCCGGGTTCGAATCTCGCGAGTGCGGGGTCGTGGACGCACACTGCTGGGGAGTCCCATAATAGGACGAAACGGCCGTCTAGTGCTTCCAGGTTTTCCGTCGTGGTCTAGCTTCAACTGACTCATGATTTCAACTATGAAACAATTGTTTTCGTCAAATATTTACCAATATTTTATTTTCTGAAGGTTTGCAAATTTTCATTATTTAGTGTGATGTATTAATCCTCATAATGAAATTTTAGTTTGTGAACGATCATTAAGCGATGTCAAAGAATGACCTTGAGGGTGTTCACCTATTAACCAGGTTTAAATGAGGGTTTGTGAACCAATATGAGGGATTAGAATTATGATTTACAATTGATGATTAAAGTTAAGAATTAGATTTCGGGTTTTCATAACGAACTGACATTGGTTAAAATGCTAAAACTCTATTTAGCCAAATGGATGAATGAATTTCATACCGAAACTCAAGACCTATTATCTTATATCTGATTGGTTCATCCATAAATTATAGTCTCACCATCTGTAACACTAACACTAACCTAACAAATTGACCTACTTGAAATGTCAACTTTAATTTAATCGATCATTTACTAAGTAGCACAACACAATTATTTTTTGTCGGTTTTCCCATCCATAAAGAGATGTACACACAATCCTATTAAAAGCCTGAAAGTGAATAAATCGAATATATGCCAGAAAAAAATATTTACCGTAGGATTTATCTATTACTATTTCAGTTTCCAGTCTTCTTTCAAGGTCAATAGAACTTCAACCAATGAAAATAATTGTGATATTCTTTTTGTGCTAAGGCTGAAAATATTAACCAATCAAATTCTAATATTATCTTTACTTATTTAAAGTAAGAAATAATAAAGAATCATTTCACATATATTGAATTGCTTGTATAGACTTTTAAACCCTTTTATAATAATAATAATAATGATAACAATATCCTTCAATAGATATATCATCTTACTGATCCTTATACATCATACTTGCACAAAACCACATTTAGAAACCGTGGTATGTTGACAAATATTACATGTATATAACACCAATTATATGTATATCATAGAGTCGAAGAGATACAGAACATTTTGCTGATGATCCAAATCGACATGATATAGAATTTGATCATAATGCATTTCTAGGTGAAGAGACTGCTAAAGAATTTTCACAACTTACACCGAATGAAAGTGAAGAACAATTAAAGTAAGTTAAATCAGTAAAACAAAAAAAATCACTTTTTCAATCTTGTTTGATTAGGATTATTATACGAAAAATTGATAAAGATAATGATGAAAGAATAACTGAATTGGAATTAAAATCTTGGATTGAATATGTAGCTAAAAAATCTAAACAAAATAGTACTGATCGTCAATGGAATGATATAAATCCAACTAATCAACCTGTTATTAAATGGACAGAATATCTAATGAGGACATATGGACCAGAAGAAGGTAAATTTTTTTTAAAAAAACTTTCAGACTAGTTTTCATTTGTGTGTATTATTAAAAGACAATATATAGTTTTATGAATGAGACTTGACACATTACACAGTTTAAGAATTTATTATATATGTATATATATGTAGTTGAAAGCATGAGTCAGTGGAAGCTAGACCACCAAGGAAAACCTGAAAGCACTGAACGGTCGTTCCGTCCTATTGTGCGACTCCACAGCAGTGCTCATCCATGATTCTACAACATGAGATTCGAACCCAGGACCTACCAGTCTCGCGCCAGATCACTTAATCGACAGACCACTGAGCCGGCATCCAACGGTGTTAATGTCTAACTTCAACCACTCCACGAAGTTTGAGCAACCGTTCACCAATTGTCTTCAGTGAGTTCCTATCTCACAATGGACGTGGTTTGAACTCCACTGATCACTGCTTCTCACTAGAACTCTAGGAATTATCTCTTGAAGTCAGTCACTAGTAAGCATATGATTAAATATGTAGGTTGGATCTATCACAGAATGATCTGAGTTTGGCTGCTTTTGAAGACCAAAGAAAAATATACAGTTGTTTCATTGTGACATACGATTTTTCAACTGTAAGCACCCACAGCCCCAACAGAAGTCGGAGTTCAATAGTACTATTTAAATTTATAAATATAAATGAGAATATATACAAAAATTATGAACATCAGGCTCTGAATTGATCGTTTTTCTTTGATATAGGCCTTTGTTAGATCTAAAAAGGAAACCTTTCTATGTCTTTAATTAAGAATAGTTTGTCTTATTGCTTTGGGCAGTCTTCATCGCTTATAACTACTGCTCAACTACTGTTAGAAATTGTTAAATCTCACTTATTTGATATTGTGCTACACTATATAGTATCTAAAATAGACTTTTGAAAATGTCCAAAAAGATAATCATAAACCTTATAGAATAAATTATTCAAAAAAGGTTATAGAATTTACTATCCGATCCGGAGCTTCCCAAACTTTTGAGTTTGACGATTCAATCTCACCATGATGAGAATAGATTAAATTCAATGAACGACTCCACAAAAATTGAATCAATGAAGATAAAGTATACATTCCAATACTTGACTTCCTTTGATAATCTAATAGGATAGATAAAAGAGAACAGAGTTAGGAAACAGTCCTTTTGTAATATATTGTAGTGTGGTCTACTTATATCCATATAAGTAGTATCTGATGATGGTCATACATAGAATGTATTTTGGCAGAAGATCTATAAGGAACAAACATGAATGAAGCACAATCGGTACGAAAATGCATGAACAATGATAATCAGAGAAGACGGACTGATATTTGCAGAAATTGTTCGATGGAAGGTTAGGTAGTCAATCGTTACTTCTACATATTAATGTTGTCTGTTCATTCCCTTTTTCTTTCTTTAAAGGTAGGCAGTAATATAATAATAGATTCGTAAGCTTGATTTTAATCGATAGACTAACAGGTTAATCGTTTTAAACATTAGGATAAACCAGTAAAATGTACACCATTTTTGTTTTGGCATCTAAAATATCGTTATCATCCATAAATGAATCAGTCTACATGTATATTGGAAAACATTGAAACAATCATAAGTTTCACTGATTTTCATCCCCTGGAATAATTCCAAATTTAAGCATGACTAAACTGACATAAATGATAAATGTTTATATGATTCATTTTTAGTATCTAATCAAATAAGTATATGATTAAACCGTTGTTGAATGGTTGTTTTTACATTAAAAATAAATTGAGAATCATCATTACATTCATTCAGTGGAATAGTTGATTATTCAGGATGAAACAAAACTAAATATTGAGACCATGAATACTAGATCACCATTAAAAACCTAGAAACACTGGACGGCCGTTTCGTCTTAGTATATGACTCCTCAACAGTGCACATCCACGACTCCGCACTCAAGAATCAAACCCAGGATTTGACGGTCGCGCGCGCGGACGCTTATCCTCTGAATCAGCCAGGATCCCAATTGCGGGTTTGTGAGTTTACACTGTTAAGAAGTCTAATACTAGGATGAAACGGCCGTCTAATGCTCCCAGGTTTTTAATGGTGGTCTATCATTCATCGATTCATGATCTCTATCAAGAAACTTAACAATCTCCATAACCACATACTGATAGCTAATTATGCTTTGAATATTATGGTTTGGTTTGACTGTTATGTATACGTCTACATACTCTTTAATTTTATTGCTTGAAAATATGGTTTTAGGTAATTTTTTAGTGAGGTTTACATTCCGCCTGTAGAAACTTTTGCTCTCGTCTTTCATGCAATTAACATACAATCATACTGCGAACTAAGCTGCCAGCACCAAAGTTAAATATTCGAATTTCCACATTTCATACAATTTTCAAACTATATTTCGAATTATCAAAAGGGGGTTTCTGGAGATTTTACTAACTTTTTCTATATAGCTGAAATCATGAGTCAATTGGAGCTAGACCACCATGAAAAACCTGGGAGCGCTGTACGGCCGTTTCGTCCTATTGTGGGATTCGAATCTCGCGAGGCGATATCGTGGATGTGCACTGCTGAGGAGTCCCACAATAAGACGAAATGGCCGTCCAGTGCTTCTAGATTTTCCATGGTAGTCTGGCTTCAATTGACTCATGATTTCAACTATATATATTTTGAATTGTTTTTGAAACTATATAAGACAGTGTAAACCTTAAACCAACATAATGAAAATAATTAATTATTTATTATTTATCCTTACAGAACGATTAAAAGATACAGCTACATCTGAATCATATAAAAAAGCTGTTCAACATGATCGGCGACGATGGATTGCTGCTGATTTAGATGAAGATGATAGTTTAAATAAGACTGAGTTCACTGATTTTGTACATCCTGAAGACAGGCCAAATATGAGAGATGCTGTTATTGATGTAAGTGCTACAGTTTTTAATTAATAAATAAATTCTTTGTACTAATATTTAAAAAGATAGTAGCTCATCATGAAATCTTAGCAATGATCACGCTTGCATCTAAAAAGTAATTATACCCGTTGAAAGACTTCACTAGAAAAACCATAGATCCCTCTGATCCATTAGTTAAAATTAATTAAATATTTCGGCGACATTCTTTATTTACTAATCACAGTGGTTGTAATTTCAACCGGTCCATATACTGGTATACAGAATGTCTGAATAATTTTGATCAATAATTTGCTGCTAATCAATTAAGCCCATTTTTGAGTGGACCACGCACTGTGTTTGTTCTATGGACGCTCATTTTCATCAACCTGTCAATGTACAACAACGTGTATCTGTATTCCTAGGTCAACATTTAGAATGTCCTACCACGTTGATGTTTATTAGTTAGTATGAAGTTTTCCTAAATGACTAGTCAATAGTGTTGTCTACTTGGAAGGCGTATGAAATTTTAGTTAATGTGGTTTCTGGCTAATTGTGGAATTCAGAACCCTTGCCTCACCAAATTTATGGTTCCTCAGCTTTATCTCTTTGTACCAAATTGTTGGATTTGAAAGTAGAACTCATTATCTTTAGTTTCAAATGGACACGCTGAAGGGTTAAACTCAGTTAGTCACTAACCCATTCAAACTCTTATACATATTGCTTTTCGAAAACTGAACTAGCATAAAGTAGAAGGATCTTATTTCGTTTATCCTCAATGTTAGAAGAAATGTAAATTCTTTCAAAAATGAGTATATTTCTCAAATTATATAAACGCTGAAGGAAAAATCTATGATTAAACAATGGCATGAAAAGGATTATGTGTGACAGCGAGAACAAACATTAAATTGTAGATATATTTTGAGCCAGCAAGAAGATATATCGTTATGAACAACAATCTGACATTGATTAGTAACGAAATTTAAATGTATTCGGTGCTTGACATCTGTACGTCAGTTTTTGTTTCCTATGTTTCCTATGATTTCCTCCACTTTTAATGATCCCTTCTTATTCAAAATCTGATTCATTGAAGAACCAACTAGTAAACTTTTAGATTTTTAACAGGCTATACGTGCTTTTATGGGGAAACGCGTTTACGATTTTTATTATATTTCTTTATAATGATTTACCAACGATGATATACTATAAGATAACAATCTGATAATCACTTAAAGAGTATTACTGAATTTGGGTAGTCTTTTTTTAAAAAACCCCAGAAAAAATTCAGTCATTCAATGAGAACACTTCATACAAAGCTATTCGTAAAATGAATATCAAGAATTATAAGCAAAGATGGATAGTGGCTAGGACGCACGTTTCGTCCTGTTTAGGACTCGTCAGCTGGATTCCATTGCTAGCCACTATCCATCTTTGCTTATAATGTTTGTGAATTATGGCTATATCAAGGCAATGTGCACAGTATGCACATATGGCCAATAAGAGACTGACCAGTAGCAGACCTAAACATCAATGGGAAGGTGCAAACAAACAATACTAAGTGAATATCAAGAAGTGTTAAATATTGAATTTCTCTAACAAAACTTATCGGTACTACTTTGATTTTGATTAGTTAACGATATAAATTTAATACTTGTTTTTCTGTTTACTTTTTGATAGGAGTTACTGGAATATGTGGATAAGGACAATGATGGATATGTATCTGAAAAAGAATATTTAGGTAAAATGAAAATTTAATAGATTTGGTTATTATTTAGGATTTTCTGAACACCATACTTATCTATTACATCATTATTTTAGGGATTGGGATTCGCGAAATGATAGCAATCGACGGTTAGAGACCTTGAATGACATGACTCAAAATCGTTTGCAATGGCGAAGGTGCATCGACTCTTTGCGTTCTGCCGAATTCTAATCTTCTGAATTCTTCATGTCTCTATCTTTTTACTCTTTCCAAATTTATTTCACTGGATTGTATTCCTTCAATAACATCTTCAAACCCTAATCTTTCGGATTATTGCTTATCCTCTTACTACTTATGCTACTATGGGATTTGAATTGACAACTGCATCTCTGTGCTAATGTGGTATGGCAACTGGAAATGATGTATGTACTTCCGAAGTTCTACGTTGCAACTGACTGACTGACTATTTTAGGGAAGAAAGATGACAAAAAGCGGGTGACTGAAACTGGAAACTTGTCTTCAGCATTGCTCACACATAGCCTCTACAAATGTATAACACTTAAACATTATTTATTATGGTAAGCAGAGATGGATAGTGGCTAGCAGTGGAATTCAGGAAGCGCGTTTCGTCCTATTTGGGACTCGTCAGCTGGATGTACCTGCATCTCAGAGTTGATGTTCACTCTGGGACTCGATGGGAAGATCCAAACAAACAATACTAAGTGAATTATTTATTATATTTTCATTGTTTTCTTTATATTTTATTTGAATTTAGAGAACATATTTCATTATGTTTCCTAGTAACTTGGGATCACATTCAAGACCCGTTTCGAGTACAGTTTAGTTTATACTATCAACTATAAGTCGTGACGGTATAAGAAAGTATCCGCTCAGTATACTATCACCTATCAGATTGGGTGAATTCCTGCGGTACTGCAGATCATATTCTGAGGATATAACTTGAAAAAGTGAACTGGCTAATAATTCTATCTGATGTAAATAAATATCAATCATTTCTGTTCCCACTTAGTTTTGGGTTTCAGTCTTGTAATTTTTTGTATTTAAGAACGTTAGGTAACTTTCGGATTCAGAACAGCATTATTAGAAGTCGTTCTTGCTCATTTTTATTCTTACAATGAAGTGTTATTCTTATTAAAGAGAATAATATTAAATTGCAGTATAAGTGACAGTACTACTAATCTAGCTCTATCCAAAAACGTACATTAAGATTAGATTTCCATCTTTATTCTGGAATTTATTTGATTTTTTTAAAAAGTTGATTTAGCACGTGCTTACCAAAGTACACCATTCGATGAAAATGAACCTGAACCAGAATGGGTTGAACGTGAACGAAGTCAATTTCGTCGATTCAGAGATACAAATCAAGATGGTAGAATGGATAGAGCAGAAGTTGGTGAATGGATAATGCCATCGAATTATGATCCAATAGACGCAGAAACAAAACATTTGTTTTATCATGCTGATACTAATAAGGTAAGCAAATTAAGTTTCTTTTTCATAGTTGAAATCATGAGTCAATTGAAGCTAGATCACCATGGAAAACCTGGAAGCACTGGACGGCCGTTTCGTTCTATTATAGGACTTTTGTAGCTTCAGTTGACTCATGATTTCAACTATGAAAATACTGAAATATCCACAAAAATCCCTTCTGAAGTTTCTTTTTGTTTTGAAGTAACTGTTTATTCTACATTTTCTTTATAAATAGGTAATTGTAGTTTAAAAATCAAAATGGTCAGATGATTGATTGCACTTATTATTTTATCCTATGTTAACTTCCATAGTCGTTTAACCTATACACGGTGGAAGAAAGAAAAAAAATAAGACATTTTAATTCAGCTCAAAGAAGGTTTTACTGTGCTCTATAATAATAGCAGATCTAATGTCTAATATATTGTGGAGATTGTAGTATTTATATTAACTTTTTAACTAGTGATCTCAATGTAATGTCATTGAACGAAAACGAGGAATATCTCGAATCGACTTTTAATCGGTGTTATTTTCAAGTCTCATGTGAGGATAAATAGGATTCCAGTGCTACCTGTGTGAAAAACGACAGTAGGCAGGAGGAATGTATGGTGTTTGCCTTTAATTGTCCATTTTTATCTTTTAGTGTGTTCTGAAGTCTTAAACATCTTGTCTCCATGTGTTATCTCAACGTCAAACTATGACGTTACATTTGGCTACACACTACTTAGAAACAAACTTGTGAGTAATATCAACAACACCTGGATCTCTGTGATTGTTCAGTCAATATCAATCTATTTACAAGTTTCAAACATCCTTATGTCTTGATAAATGTAAATAAAGCTGGAAGAACAATATTTTCAGAATAAAATGAATTCATTTTATTTCAAGGCTTCTCATCAGCTGCAAAAAAAATAAACTTGCATTAGAAATATTATTCAGAATGACATCACATACCATAAACGATTAAATTTAGTTTGAAACGACTTCAGAAACTGATACGTATTATTGATTGAACGCTATACTCGGATCCTAAGCTAGTTTCGTAACCCCCAAGCTAGAACTACACAGTGACTTGAACACGAGAGAAAAGGCACAAAATATGCGACAAGCACTTTACTCCAAAGGTTCATTTATGTACAGAAAATATAGGGTTTTTATAGTATTTTAAAAGTCCTTGGGTTTTCCTGAAAATTATAGAATACTACTCAACATAGTAGCAGTGACGTTATCAACTAATCAGAACCTCTACATGTGACTTTTCATTTGCGCGATATTTCTAGCAAAACCTCTAATCAAACGCTGATTGGGCAAAATGCTCTTTAATGTTTCCTGAGCTTGTCATGTCTATTGCGAGAAATTTGCCGGATCATCCCAACAGAAACACAAAGAAACAACATATGTAGCTTAATGGTTAAGATTGACTGGTATCTATATGTTGAGTAATGAAACCATAAAAAGGGGAGAAATAGGTAAAATTGTAAGTGGTAATAAAGAGATAGTGCATAAAAATAATCTGTTAACAAATGGGTAATAATCAAGGCACCCATTTAATGTGGAATCAAAGTTAATGTCTTGAATGAATGTCAGTGAGAATTTTTAAGCTAAGTTATGGAGCATAACGAACAGATCATGTGACTGACATACTTTAAAATATAAATATAACAATAACTATGGCAGTGATAAGTGTACCACAATTTCATTTTTCATGCAAAGGTCAGGTTAAAGACTCATGATAGCAACGGTCTTTGTAAAACGGATTAAAAATGGCATACGTCCCCTGTCAATTATTTTGAAAGCTTTTGAGACGTTCACGTTGTGTCCACTATTTATTAAATATTTAGTAACCGCACTTGTGGAAATCCCACTTACTTTCAGGTACAACTTACGAGAAATACATTCTGAATACCTTGTTGATGCCCTTGTCTCAGTCCTTCCTATGTACTTGCTTCTAAATGTACATGTAAATTCATAAATACATTTGTTGTTGACCTCAGCAAATACTTGATCCAGTTTTGATTGATTTAAGGGATATCTCGTGTTATAAACCGAAAATAGTTGAGCTGCAGGGAAGCTTGTCTTCCCTTTGTTTAAATCCTTTGATAGATCCTTCCTGAAATCTCTTCATAATTAAATGCAAACAGGATACAGACAAGTTTTCCGTTAGCGGTTGCTTGTTTAGGACGTTTTTGATTACTTTTTGTTGAGATCATCGTTCAATTCGATGCACACTGCCAAGGAGTCCCACAATAGAACGAAACGGCCTTCCAGTGCTTCCAAGTTTTCCATTGTGGTCTAGCTTCAATTGAATCATGATCTCAACTATATTAATTTATATCAGTTTTGAAACCAAATATTTCTTCTCAATAAGATTATGTGAAGCATAACAGTAAAATAATGAAAATAACAAGAATATAACAGAATTATCACCTTGTTCTTCTTTACTTTTCCTTGCTTGTCAGGATGGATTATTAACAGAAGCAGAAATCATTGCCAAACGAGATACTTTTGTCAGTAGCCAAGCCACAAATTATGGAAATGCTCTTAAACAACATGAAGAGCTTTAATTAGAATGCTAAAACGAAGTGTTAAACAGGATGAAAAATGCTTTATTTCATTTTTAACTGTTTCTTTTTTTACTTGCATGATCCTGTTGGTAGTATGAATAAAACAATAAATCTTGTTCATTGTTCCACTTGTTACTTCTTATCGTTCAACTGCTTTGAGTTAATTGGGTTCATCTTAAGCATGTTAAGATTAGGATTCAAGATCTGAGTAAAATATCATGAAATGTAATTTGAAAAGGGTTTGTGGGATAGACACAATCAGAAGATGGAGAATTTGAGTTATGTGATTCAGATTATTTTCAAGTATATTAGCTCTTCAACTTTCTCCCAATTATGAATTACACCATTCCTTCACACATAGCTTTCCATTTTGTATTTTCGCGAGGCAGGATCGTGGATGCGCACTGTTGAAGAGTCCCACAATAGGACGAAACGGCCTCCCAGTGCTTCCAGGTGGTCTAGCTTCAATTGACTCATGATCTCAACTATATTAGAGTATATTTCCCAACCCTGTAGCATTAATTTGAAAATGTATGGTAAGTTGTGCCGCAATCTTCTGAACATTAGTTTTTTATTTCATAAAAATCTAGATATTAAACATTCAAACAACCGGATTTGACTTGATTTAATTGTCACTTTTTGAGATCAATCATAACCATTTTATTGTTTTAATCGTATAAGATTCATAAGAATCTATATAAAATTGTATAAGACTAAAAAACTAAATATCTACTATATCTATTAGTGATTATTGCAAATGTGGATTAGTGATTATTTAATAAATTTGCTATACGGCTCACTAATCTTACTTACTTACTCCTGTTACTCAGTAATAATTAATCTTAATCATTATTGGTAAGCCGTAAGTCTTTATCAAATAACTTACGATATACCGTCTAGTCAAAAAGGGTAATGTATGATACATGTCTATAGAGAATGATAACCTAGTTCTTCTGGAACTACTCATTATTCGTGATTAGCAGAGATGGATAGTGGCTAGCAGTGGAATCCAGGACGCGCGTTTCGTTCAATTTGGGACTCATCAGCTGCATGTACCTGCATCTCAGAGTTGATGTTCACTCTGGGACTCGAACCAAGTACCTTCGCTTCAAACCCCATCGCGTTATCCACTCGGCCACTGAGTCCTGATAGCCACTTGCTTGTGCGATGGGGTGAAGTTCAAATTCAATTTAGTATTGTTTGTTTGAATCTTCCCATCGATTTGTTACGACTGCAACTGGTCAGTCTCATATGCCAATTAGAGACTCAACAGTTGCAGTCCTAACAAATCGATGGGAAGATTCAAACAAACAATACTAAGTTGAATTCATTATTCGTGAATTTCCCTAGTGATAGATATTTTGAATTAGTTAAATAAATTAAAATAATGATGAATATGACTTATTTTAAAATATATTTGAATCTAAAGGTGTATATGGCAGCATAATCAAACAACGTTTATATCAATCTCAATAACTAATTAAAACAATATTATTTAATATCAGAAGGGGTTTTGTGGAGACTTCAGCAATTTTATAGTTGAGATCATGAATCAATTGAAGCTAGACCACCACGAAAACCTGGAAGCACTAGACGGCCGTTTCCTCCCATTGTTGAACTCCTCAGCAGTGCGCATCCACGAGTCCCAAATAGAACGAAACGTGCGTCCTGGATCCCACTACTAGCCACTGTCCATCTTCTCTTATATTAATATATATTTGTTTACATATAGATTTAACTCCAAGATAATCCACTAATCTCTAAATGTTGATGTAGTTGTTTTAAACGAACTTTACCTAACGATTCGGTTCGTTATGAGCTCTTGGAATTAAATGCTTTGAAGGTACATTTTAATAACAGTTTCATAATTAGTTAATAGGATATTGTTAAGAGACATTAAATGGAATGTAGAATGTTAAAACAATAAAAAATACATTCCATGTAATCAGCTATAATATTAAGTGTATCTTTGTACTACCATATAGGATATCTAACGGCTGCCTGTAGATCTTCTAGGGCTACTTCCGGTCCCAAACTAGGGTAAAGGAGGGTTGAGTGTATGATCATCATCTCCATCCCGTAGAAAACAACTTAACTAAAGAATATGCTAACCAGAATATAGTTTACAAGAGCGGTGAATAAAAATTGAATGTGATGTGTAAAACGTGATAAATATATTTCTTCATTTTAAGATTCGAATGTCATTGTCTTTCAAGGAATGAATAAATTCTATCATTCTTTATATGCTTTTGTTATGCCCCAATAAGGATAATGAACGGTAACTTTGGGATCTATTTATGAACCAATATTATGCATATATTTTTTATCGTATAATTGCTAAATAACTAAACTATTTATATTCATGTTCCCCTTATTATAAGCTTTATTTTGACCCATAAACTATTATTATACGATTTACCATTCTTGAGTTCTCCCTAGTCTATTAATTACTGCCTTCCACATTCACAACCACATTTGGCTAAATATTGTACAAATGTTATTTTCTATTTTATTGGTACGACGTGGTCAGTCTGCTTAGTATATAATCTCAGTATATTTGAAATATAATAATTCATGCCACAGAGGCTGTTCTGGACTTAACTATCTTGGTTTATCAAAAGCACGATCGATATGTTACTGTTCCAATCGATAATTCGCTGTTCTCTGATGGACGGTCTTATCATATCATACGTTAACTAGGCATCCACTCGGCCACAAGTTATAACAGTTTTATTACCTTTAGACAAATGGGATGAAATTTTACCCAATAAAATTCAAGGTTGCGTATTTATTGGATAGTAGAGAAAAGTTTCAATGACTTATACCTGGATAAAAAAAAAGAAGAATGATACAATTTACTCTCAGTCTGTATTGAACTGAATGTCAAATTAAAATACATATGCAAATATAAATAATATAGTTTAAGTAGTATTTAGATAATGTTTACAAATTTGTATGTTTTCAGTAACTTATGACACAATTTCATTCTAAAGGAAATAGATTAAGTATAATTACATAGAGTTTAGATCACAGTTAGTTTTATGAATCTTTACAGAGGCTTGATAACTTCAACAAATGTTGCCGGAAACATTCCACGATTACCAGTACTAGCCGATTCCCCACGATACCAGTTTTCATCAATAGCTTCAAATAAATACACTATTTCACCAGGCTAAAAACAAAAATAATTGAAAAGCATAATGGAGTGATATAAATTGAAAGGAATTTCCATTTGTCAATACTAAGATGATTAGTTCTGGAATATTTGATAAGATTACTTCTCATTTAGTTTCTATTCAACATATCTTGATAATTGAAAGAGTGATTCAATTGAAGTTAGATCACCAAGGAAAACCTGGAAGCACTGGACGGCCGTTTCGTCCTACAGAGATAGACATAAACGCCATCGGGTGCCGGCTCAGTGGTCTAGAGGTTAAGTGCTCTGCGCGAGGTCGTGGATGCGCACTGCTGAAGAGTCCGACAATAGGACGAAACGGCCGTCCAGTGCTTCCAGGTATTTTGTGGTGGTCTATCTTCAATTGACTCAAGCTTTCAACTATGAAAATACTAAATCTCCACAAAACCCCTTCTGATATCTTGATAAATCAGCCTAAAATAGCAATTTTTTTATACTGATAAATGATCACATACTGAGATATAAACGTTTTGCATTCTATAGAGACTTTCACGGTTCATCCACAAAATAACATTGAGTAAATTTAGGATCTTCGACAGTCCAAAAGAATCAATGGTTCAAATCTAAAACTAAGGTTAGTTTGTTAGATTGAACAACAACCATTTAATTCTAATGGTTATATCTGCCTCACTGTAGATGCGATTGAAGCTCAGCAATCACGGATGTACACTCGAAATCAGGTTTTAGTGAACACATTGTTATAAATCAATTCATAGCTATTAAAAAACATACTAACTACTGTAAAATAATAAACCACGATAATCATAGTCCAGATATTCCTCGTTAAATTAGCCCTAAAAGTTACCATAGATTTTCTGTTTGATTGTTTATCTGAAACTGGAAACCTTCTAAACTGTCCTAAAGTAGGGTAGTGTTATTTGTTATGATCAGACATAGAGATTCACCTATTTCGTTCACAGTTTAATGCTTAGTAGTTATTATATACGTCCTACTCAAGAATGTACAAGGTTTATTTTGAAATATAACCCAAATTCTATATAACCACGGTATTTATTCAAATTAACTTAGGCATAAATCCTTATATTTACAAGTAAAATTCCCGTATATGCCAATAAATTGTAAGTGGTTCGAACGAAATGTATTCGATATACTACTTTTCTATTTGTCATCATACAACAGCTGTTCTTGCATCAAGCTATATGACTCTCCACCGATCTTTGACATGATAATTGCTCTATGGCTAATTCAAAAGAACGAAGCTGCTCTTCTTTTGTGTAGTGAATATAAAAGTAATCAAGTATTAACTTAGTGATTTACATCAGTGTTTTGTGAGATGATTACTTCTATAGTACTATTTAACTGAATTAGTAACACCCTGAAAAGTTTCTAATGATGTTATCTACGATCCTTTTAGAAGTCTTTACAAATGGCAGCTTTGAAATCGTTCGCTGTTCTTAAAGGAACACTATCTATCAGCTTTTTGGTACTATGATTCCCTATTTCAAATGAGCAATTATTCAATCAGTCACAGATTCAAACTCACTCAATTTGTTTCAATTTAAAGTAATGTTCAACTCATGCGCAGTCAATATCTATTATTCCAACAGAAATTGATCTGTTGGTTTGGATGGTTATCATTATTCTATCAAATAAATAGTATACAAAGTTATAAGTCAGTAACTGAATATGTGAAATGTAAATTCTGATTACCGATAAAGCTAAATCTTCATCAGTTTCTTCATCAAATTTATATAAAGCTTTGACACGTGGTCTAGCTTCCAAACAAGAAGCCAATTCATTTGAGTTATCAATAACTCGAACATTGGAGATTTTTACTAAACCAATAACACCAAACCAGTTTTCACATTTTATCCATTTTCTACTTAATGATGAAGACAGTGAATACTGGTGATGAGTATTACTACGTGTATCACAAACTTGAGGATTTGAATCAATACATTTAAGGATATCACCAACCTGTAAAGAAAAACATGAAGATAATTAAAATTGATTCATAGTAACAAGGCAAGGCTCTAATAGACATAAAACGAGATTGATAATGAAACTTTATCATATATAGCTTAGAAATCAAATAATCTTATTTTGACTCATATCAAACGATGAGCTGGAACATATACGTTTATTGAACATGTAGGTTTGGTTTCGTAGCGACCTTGGCATCATCAGCTATGAAGAGGAAGTGTAATCTTATTTTTGAAATGGTGGAGAAGATTTGTGGCTCAGGTGGGTGATAACCAATCAAGAAAATTATGCAGAAACATAGAAACCAAAAATCAAACCAATAGGAGATACAGCCAAAACAAAGAAATAAACAATGACAGATTTAAGGTCAATAAGAACCAATCAACATCGAGGTGTACAGGACAAGCTGTGAATCACATGTGGAGAAATTCAAATACTTCAATTCTACCTGAAGTTTGTGCTGATGATGTCGTTCAGAAGGACGATTAAAGCTCCACGACCAAACCATCCAGCTCAGAGAACAAACCTACATCAAAATCTTAACTTTATTGGTAGAAATTGAAAACGATTCTCAAATGTTTACATTTGCTGTTCTCTATCTAAGTGAACGAAAACAGGGTTATCTGAGTATTCTGCAAACTGTCCTACATACTTGGCTTGTTCGAATTAAATTAAAGTGTTTATAGAGTAGTTTTATAGTTTTCATACATAATCTTATGATTTCCAATGTATTTCAGATGAATGCTCTAATTGATCAAGGTTCTTTGTCAGACGCTAGCACATTATAACATCTTTATTCTACTTTTTCGGTTAGACGAGATCAAGTTTCAACCATTCCAATTTTTCTTACACCTTTCACATTTCATTTTTAATACACATACATTTGAACTACAATGGCCATTGTGTATTTTTTTTCATAAAGTGATCTACTTTAACTGTTCAAGTATTTGTATACTTCATTACACCTTCGCTACAATTTTTACTAACAATTCAAGTAACTATACTTCGAAATGCACTTTTGTATGCAATTTTACTCGCTCAAAGCAGTGATAACATGTGCTAACTTTGAAAATTCATCAATAAGGTACATCCAACTGACGAGTCCCATATTGGACGAAACGCGCGTTGTGGTTTCCACTGCTAATCTCCATTCATCATTGCTTATAATGCTTGTGAATTAAGACTATATCGAGGCAATACGCAGAGTATGCACATATGTCATAAAGAGACTGATCAAGTGCACTCATTGGAAAGATTCAAGCAAACAATACCAAGTGAATATAAGGTCACTTAGCTAGTAAACATGAGTGTTTAAACGCCTTGGTTTATTTTTTTCAGCAGCAATAACACAAATGACTTTAACTAGTAGACGTAGGAGTATTTCGAAAATCAGAAGGAGGTTTCGTGGAGATTTTAGTGATTTTATATAGTTGAGATCATGAGTCAGTTGAAGCTAGACCACCATGTAAAACCTGGAAGCACTAGACGGCCGTTTCCTCCCATTGTGGAACTCCTCAGCAGTGCGCATCCACTATCCCGCCACGCGAGATTCTAACCCAGGACCTACCAGTCTCGCGCCAGAGTACTTAACCGATACACCACCGAGCCGGCATCCAACAGTGTTGATGTCTAACCTCAATCAATCCACGAAATTGCGCGACCAACTTCCATTGTACTAAGGTAGATACCTGTCTCTACCTGACATGGATTAGCTCCGCTGGTCGCGGTTTCTCACTAGAGCTCCAGAAATTATCTCATGGAGTCAGTCACTAGTGAGCATATGATCATAAATTACGGAAAACCATCCATTGCGGTAAAATGAAATCTAATAATGTTTGATGTAATATGCGAGTTGACCAAACTGAAGAGGTACGTATTTTTAATATAAAAATGGTAGCGGCAATTCTTCTATAATAAACCTTAATTGAATAAAATATGAGAAAGTATGTATAATAAAAGATTGACATAATTTACAGTTAAATGAAGTTCACCAGTTGATTCATTGCCCAATTGTTCATGTTCAACTATTAACCAATCATTTGTTGCAATCAATTTACTATGATTACTCTCTCCAGTAGATTTCAATAATGAATATTGATGATTTGATTCAGATCGTGGAGATTGTTGATCACATCTTACGTTTGTTGTTTTTTCTTCGGCCGTTGTTGTTGAAATCTGATTATTGTTTAGTGATTTCCCAGAAGAAGATAAACTTATATAAGCCTTTGATGTGACTAGTTTTTCTGGAGGTTTTGTTATGGTATACGCTCTTCTTATATGACTATTGTAATCAAAATTACTTTTGTTTGTAGTAGAACTATTATTACGCAATAATTTGGCACTTTTAACAATTGTTATTGATTTGGCATCTGTTGACTGATCTCCATTATCAGTTTCAATATCATTATGCTTGTTTGATTCACTTGAATGTTTTAAATGATTCGATGCATTACTGATATTATTGTTAGTAGTAGTATTAGTTACACTACCATTCTTAATGTCAGTTGAATATGAATTTTCTATTGAATGTTTTCTGTCAACATCTAACCTTTTTGAATTATCCATTCTTGAATCAAATATATTTTTATTATTTGGTGTTTTATTCAAGCTATTTGAATCTGTAGACCTACTTGGAGATCGATTTAATTCTGGAAGTAGTTTGCTCAATACTGTCTGTTGGTCATAATTAAAAAGAAATAAATTACGACTACTAAGAACAGTGAAAGTAATTTATAAGAATGATAAATTATCACCTCACGTTTAAATTAGGAAAATAGTAGAGGAAAAATACTACAAAGTAGAGGTCTTTGACGTTTTTTGAAACAATTTCAATTTATAAGGTCTGCAGAAATACTTTACCAAAGTACTATAGCAACTGCCCTACAATCAATTTCGATTATGGCTAATTTTGATTAAGCCCTTTGATTACCTTACTCTTAACAGACAATGTTATTTGAATAGTAACAATTCTCATATTCCTTTGTACCGTTATGGTCACTAGAGCATATGACTGACTCTAGCTAAAACGCTGATTACTTAAATTTCACTCAATGATTCATCCTATTCCCTGTGTATATATGTACTCAAATTCTATTATTAGCTTTGCATTGCCTTTCTGTGCCTTTATGCAACTTGACTATAAAGTCGCCTATGTATTTTCGCTTATATACTTATTCACCTCTCTGCTTCAAATTCTCTTGATGGGCTTATAGCGTTGTGGTCTGTAGTTGTGGTCTGTGGTCCTCTTATAAGTTGTAGTTGCCGCTTCTTATTGCCTACTGATTTCAAACACCGTTGAGATTTATACCATAACGGTTATTGAGGTGAATAACAAAGCAAAGCCACTACAGTTCATTAGTTTTAAGTGTCTCGCGCGTGATCGCTCAACATCTAGACCACTGAGCCAGCATCCAACGGTGTTAATGTCTAACTTCAACCGGTCCACTAAATTGAGTGACACATCCACCATTGTCTTCAGTGAGTTACTATCTCACAACAGACCCGGTTGAACTCCACTGGTCACTGCTTCTCACTAGAACTTCCAGGTTTTCCATAGTGGTCTAGCTTCAATTGACTCATGATTTCAACTATCAAAATTTACTTTGTTTAGTTATAAGATAAATATAAAATAATATAAGATTTAGTATATCAACAAAATAGCTCACTTCAACTAATAAAGGTGAATGATACTTTGTAGTTTTAACGGAAGTTTGTTCTTCTTCACTTTTTTCATTGTTTATCTTATTAGTTGTCTCATCTTGAATCTTCTTATTAACATTATGGTTATCATTTTCAGTACCATTTCGAATATTATTGTTGTTCTTATCATGTATATTATTCATTTGTGTTAATGATTTTAAACGTTCTGATGATGAAGGAGCTGAAGAAATTAACAAAGGATGTGATCCTGGATATAAATGTTTTGCTCCAGATGGCATTTGTCTACTACGATAAGAAACAATACCTTTTTCTTGTAACATTTGAGCTATTTGTGATATCGCAGTTTGATTTCTTGGTTTCAATGAATTAATCACAGGTGGTGCATTACAAGGTTTAGGTATTTGTTGTTGCTCTTGTAGATGATCAGTTGATGTTGACGATGATGGTGGAGGTGGAGGTGGTGGTGTTGGATTTGGTGCGAGTTGTGACTTGATTTGTAATGAATTTGGTGACTTGACAGTCGAATGTGAGAATGGTTTTGTAGAAACTTGAACACGATTAGGCAATAAATTATTGACTGGTAAACTTGTACTCAGTGGCTGAAAATTTATAAAAGATATTGTAACAAATATAATATGATATATATAAAATAATATATATATATATATATATATATATATATATATAATATATACCCTGGTACGGCCGAGAGTGGGGATAGTCCGCTCTTCCTCTCCAAATGCTCTCACATGGCCACTCGTATATAGTCTCTTCGAAGAAAGTTCTACTCACTGCCTTCTCGTGGTATTACTGTTGTTTGCGAAATTGAGAGGACGGGTTGGTGAACACGGAAAGTCCATCTAGGAGAGTTGGAAAACCCTCATTCCAAACTGATGGTGCACATTGGCTCCAGGATTTTGAAGGAACAAATGGCGCATGAATCAATCGTTGGTCACCGGTTACCGTGGGACTGCATCTCCTCACGATGCTCCACTACCTTGTGGATCAGACCTTTAGGTCAAAGGCTTCGGGTGTGATCCCCTAAGAAAACCACCTTCCCCAGTTTGGGCTTTGGGTATCAAAGCCCTCACAAAAATCAAATGAGATTTGTGTGGCGCATATTTATCTGGTGCCCTTTTGTACCAATATTTATGCGTTTAAATAAAAATAAAAATGAAACATAATCATGTGTGCAAGGTGATTTTTTAACAAAAAAAAAACAAAATTTCATATTTTCATCTAAAGAATTTAGTTAAGACTAAAGATTAAATGGTAATGTATCATTTACCAATCAGTAATTAATATCACAGGGGAGGTTTTGTGAATATTATAGTAATTTCAATAGTTGAGATCATGAGTCAGTTGAAGCTAGACGACTATGGAAAACCTGGAAGCACTGAACGGTCCTGGGTTCAAATGTCGCGAGGCGGGATCGTGGGTGCTCACTGCTGAGGAGTTCCACAATAGGACGAAACGGCCGACCAGTGCTCCTAGGTTTTCCATGTTGGCCTAGCCTCAATTTATTCATGATATCAACTATTAAAATTACTATAATATCCATAAAACCCCTTCTGATATTATTCAACATATGCTCTCTAGTTACTGGCTTCAAGAGGTATTCATGGAGTTCTAGTGGCCAATTGGCACTGAAAATTAGGCTAAACTGGATCACCTATTTATTTCCTCTAATGACCTATGCACATCAAAAGAATTTGAAAATCTATCATTAAAATTTGATGGCTTGAATGAACAAAATGGTTTATTGTCAGTTTATTTACAACCTTATAATAATAGTTTAGAATGCCTGACGTCAAACTGCTTTGATTCCTGCAGAAGAACTTCAAACTTGATTTCTCAGCATAACACGTTACGTAGTGTGTTCAGTCGAGGATTTTCTGTCTTAAAGTTTATTATCTTCCGTAATTTTAATAATAAACAATCATCATTACAGTAATCGTTACACTATGATTCATGATAGTAGAAAGTTAAACTGTCAACAGCATTTATATAAAACTGTTGTTCTTAATGATGTATAACGATGTATGGAGAACTCAATATACAGTTGAATTTTCCTCCGATGGAGCTCCATCCTATTACAATTTAAGTAGAGTCAATTTAAATACCTTATTCACAAACCTAAAGGTTTTAGACTGATAGCATTTTTGAGTAGGAATCCCAAATTATCTTTTTCGTTGAAATAGGTATCTGTCAAAGTTTTTAACGAATCATGCAGCTGGGACGAATCAAGAGGCATAACGATAGCACGAAAAGCATTCTAGTCTTAGGGACGAGATAGTAGCAGTATTGAAGAAATACTTTGGGAAATACATTCAATGCAACATAGCCATGCTTTTTGTTCAAACAACTATAAGTGAAGTTTAAAATTTTCTGTGAAATCACCCTCAATATACGGAAGAGAAAGGTGTCCAGTTCAGTCAAAGTCAACAATGTGCCAACATATTCAAACACCTCTCCATAAAGATTCTATAGCTTATAATGTTTAAAACTGTGTCTTAGACTAACCGTCTAAACCTAATCGATGTAAAATATTACTAAGTGACTTCTATCATAAACCTAACTATACCTGGAATAGCTTTTGATAATGAATCTTTTTGTATGTTTCTGTCACATAGCCTAGTGATTGAGACAAAATGATATCCATTTGTTTTGAGTCTCATTCAAAGAGCGTATGTCACTATTAAAGCTAGAAAATCTATGACTGCTATATTCCTCAGTTGTTTTCTTATTCATTCTAACTTAACGTAATAATTTGATTAGAAAAGCTGTTAATCTCTTAGTAATATTGATGAAAATTGAAGGTTTGAAAATAAACTTAAACTATAAGCAAAGATGAATAGTGACAAGCAGTGGAATCCAGGACATGTGTTTCGTCCTATTTGGGATTAGTCAGCCGGATGTACTTACATCTGAGTTGATGTTCACTCTGGGACTCGAACCCAGTACCTTTCGCTTCAAACGCCATCTCGTTATCCACTCGGCCACGGAATCCTGATAGCCATTTGCTTGTGCAATGGGGTGAAGTCTATAGATATTTCTGTTTACAGTATGGTCCATTCAAAATCATAATAATAATGAGTAAACTGGAAATTTATTCTGTGTTAAATACAATTTAAAGTAATGATAAAGGCTAAGAATTTAAGTTACCTGAATAAATTTGAAAGACATTAGTATTTTCTAGATTACTGTTGATAGAACCCTCATAGAAAAGAATCTTTATCAAGTAAAACTGCATTGATTTTTTACCCTTCCTTTCTATCATTGTCTTAAAACAATCTTTTGAGCAAAATAGCTTTATAATGTGTATAATTTCCGATTGATGAATCCAAAGTTAAGTTGGTCACATATTATTTAGAGTGGTGTAAATAGTAAAATGTTAGGCAAGAAAGTATTAAACGTCCTTAATCTAACCAACCTAAATCTATTGTAGCGCCGTGCATCGTTAATCGTTCACTTCAATAACCGTCATAATTCCAATCTTAACGGTGCGTAAAATCAGAAGGCAAAGAGAAGCAGCACTACAGTTTATTGTCACATAACTCAGGCCAGAAAGTTACAAGCACCTGAGAGAATATCAACGAGAGAGTGAGCAGCGAGCGAGCAGTAAGCGAGCAAGCAAGCGAACACGTAGCAAGCAATTACATAGGCAATTTATAGTCAAATTTAATAAGGTCACAGCAAAACAAAACAAATGCTGATAACAGGATTTGCGTGCATACATATATGGGGAGGAGTATGAGTCATTGAATGATAATTAAGCAATCTTCATAGTTGAAGGCGTGAGTCAATTGAAGTTAGACTACCATGGAAAACCTAGAAGCACTGGACGGCCGTTTCATCCTATTATGGTACTCCGAGGACTCGAGACTGGTAGGTCCTGGTTGAGAATTTCGCGAGTGTGGGATCATGGATGCGCACTGCTGAGGAGTCCCATAATAGGAAGAGTTGGCCGTCCAGTGCTTCTAGGTTTTCCATGGTAGTCTAGCTGCAATTGACTCACGCTTTCAACTATGAAAATACTAAATTTGCACAAAACCGCTTCTGATACTTAAACGATCGACATTTTGGCTAGAGTGTCATGTGCTCTAGTGGTCATAACAGTGCAAGCAAATATGCATATTGTTACTACTCAAATGACGATGTCTGTTAAGTAAGTAAGAAGGGCTTAGCCAAAATTGACCATAGTCAAAAGTGATTGTAGGATGGTTGCTATACTATTTCTATGAAATATCTTCAATAACAACGAAATAATCCTTGGTGTCTGAATATAAAGTATTCTGATAAATCAAAAGGTCAACTTACAGTAGTGCAAACTCTGTATTGGTCTGTATTGGTCAAATTGTTAGTAGGACTTTTACAATTTAACAAAGAATTTGTGGTTTGTGAATTCAACGATTCTGTTGAATTTGATGACTAATGATAATAAAAAATAAAAAAAAAGTAAACAGGGAAGTATGTAAAAACAAAATATCTTTTTACGAATACTTTCATTTAATATATAAAACATTTACCATGTTAGTTCATTTTTCGTATAGGATGTTTGAATCTTTCCATTGATATTTAGGACTGAATTGATGAATCTCTTATTGGCATATATGCAACTTGTGCGGATTGTCTCGATATTACCTTATGTCCTGAGCATCATAAGGAAAAATGGATGATGGCTAGCATTGGAATACTGAAGTGAACCTCAACTCTCAGGATTCAGGTTCATTCAGCTGACAAGCCCTAAAATAGGACGAAACATACATCTTTGATTTCACCGCTGGCCACCATCTATCTCTGTTTACCATCTTAGCATGACAAGTAATGTTTGCATAATTTTGCGTAATTCAAAACAACTAGTTACTTTTATTCTTGTAAAGTAAAATACACAAACAGTGGTAAGATTTTTACCAGTTAATTCATCGAATGTCTTCAAAGTTCCTAAATATGACAAAAATTAAATTCACTTAGTATTGTTTGTTTGAATCTTCCCATCGATGTGTTAGGACTGTAACTGGTCAGTCTCTTATTGGCATATGTGAATACTGTGCGTATTGCATCGATATAGCCTTGATTCACAAGCATGATAAGCAAAGATGTATAGTGGCTGGCAGTGGAATCCAGGACGCGCGTTTCGTCCTATTCGGGACTCATCAGCTGGATGTACCTGCATCTCAGAGTTGACGTTCACTCTGAGACTCGAACCCAGTACCCTCGCTTCAAACGCCATCGCGTTATCCACTCGGCCACTTAGTTTTGATAGCCACTTGCTTGCGAAAGGTACTGGGTTCGAGTCCCAGAGTGAACATCAACTTTGAGATGCAGGTACATCCAGATGACGACTCTCAAATAGGACGAAATGAGAGTCCTGGATTCCACTGCTAGCCACTATCCATCTTTGCATATCAAGAATTAGTTCAATATTCTTTTCTATTTACTGATATGTTTATCAGTAAACTAATTATTTCTGGCACATATTTAAAAACGTACAGTAAGATGTTGTGTTGTTCTACTTACACAATAAATCAAACTACAATTTTTGAGACAAAATGTTGAAATATTTTATAATTTATTTTGTCTACTAAATTTGATTAAAGTAGTCAATCAAAATATCGCTAAAAATGTAGCCATTAAACAAATAAAATTGAAAAGATCACGTGTAGTAGTTGAAATATAATAAATATTTCAAGTTATCAGTTGGTGGTCTTAAAATTTTCTATCATAGAAATAAAAATTCACGGTTTGTTAAGATGAATAATCATAGTTTAATAGAAAACTCATTATACGTGTGATACATATGATTATTTGTGACTGTATGTTGAATTAGTTATACAATGGAACTCAATATAACTGAATAGATGAAAATGTTACAATGCTGAAAAAGCCATTTTATTGACTGTGAAATAATTTTTGTTAGTTATAACTAACTATTCTAAAGTAAATTGACTCAAAACACTGTTATTTGAAACATATAGAGATATAAGGATGTGAGAATAAAATGCACCTAACAAAATAGAGTGTAAAAGTAAAGATGGTGGTCGGAGGTGGTAAACAGGAAACCCTGGACCCAGGTTTCGTGCTACTTGGCACTTAACAGCAAGGTATACCTGTAATATCGAGGGAACTGGTGCTCCTTGACGGACTCGATCTCGCATCACTCTTGCCTGACAGTCAGAGACGTTACCATTGAGCTATTCGGGACCGACCGATATCATGCGTGTCAAGTCCTTCTTAGTGCTGATTGATTGCTATCGACCAAGTGTAAAAGCACTTATCATAACAACTGATTCTTAATAATTACTTGGGGTTTGATGAATTTAGAGAACAGTGATTCATAAATCATTTCAAACATTAATGTCTTCGTATTTATAAGATGAAATGGTTTTTTATCGATTTGGATCTTCATTTCCCCATAATGATTTTATTTAGTTGATGGTAAAGTAAATATTTGATGAAAGGTTATCGAATGGAATTTTTACGAACAGTTGAAAGCATATCTTGCGAGCATAATAGTTGCTTAGTAATGAGTACTTAAAGCTTCCGGTTCAAAATACAAAGAATGAATTCAGTAATATGTGGAAGATTTCATTCGCAAGCCGTGAAATACATAGAATCTCGATAATCTAAATTAAATATTCACAGTAAAGCTTGCCAATGGAGTGCAGAGTCAGTACAAATGCAGCGACAAATAATCATCTCATTATTTTATTCATATTCACCAAAGGAACTGATTATCTTAAAAATCTTACTCCATCATAAATGTGTATAATCCATGTTTGATATGCTCAACGAAAATCATTGTTTTTCGGAAAAGATATAAAGTATGTTTCTAACCCAAGTATAGTACAATATATGATAGAAGCTGTTTTAAATTTACATGAAAAATACTGGATCGCTTAACCACTAGACCACTGAGCCGGCATCCAACTATGTTAATGTCAAACAGATGTTTCGTGTTATCATTTTATATAGTACATTTCAAGTTGTGAATTCACAATACCATATATGTATCTTTAATCATTCCCCATAGACTTTCCAAGCTCCTGATTCATTTCAAATGAACTTTGATTACATTTAATGGCCTAATATACTTTCAAAAGTGTATAATCACATCTAATGATATTAACATTGTTATAAATTCGATTGGGACCATCATAATGATTGGTACCTATTCCTGATCTTACGATAATTAGATAAATGAGAGACGAATTCCTTGAAATTCATTCATCAAATATACAACAAAATGAAAAAAAGAAAGATGTTATTGAATCGAAATCATTAGAAAGATATAGTTATTCATAAAGATCTACTGTTGGTAAACTGTTGAAAAGTACACTTTCTATCGATTATTATTTCAATGTTCACTTCCAAGAGATTACCATTATACAGTGATGTATGAAAGAATAAAATATATTTTTAAAAAACACTAGAATGTTACCACATAATATATCCCGTAGGTATTATCCAGTATACATGAGAAGTAAAACATTTCCTTTTTATCAGTAGTATATAATCATGTATAGATAAAGATGAGTGAAAGAAAACTAATATAATTCACCATAATATTGATAATAAAGTAATGAAATTCAATAAAATACACCATAAAGATTATTAGAATAGTTCATTGTTTATATGAAATTAAAGAACATTTTATCATTTCAAACAGTTTTCACCTTTGTTGAATGTATGGAACAATACAAATGAAGAAAAAGTACTCAACATATAGAATCAGACGACCCAATAAAAGTAGAAGATAAACATCCATCATCCATCATATAATCGAAACAGGTCATAAGATTGATCTAAACTCGGCTTTTGTTGTGTTGTTTAAAAGTGTAAAAGGGCGTATACTAAGGTTTATTGAAGCCTTAGCCATATGAAAATTCAAAACCCCTTTGTATATTCAAAAACAGTATGTTCTCACCTTAAACCTACCCTGGTAATATTAACTTATTATCCAGAGTGATTGGGTATCAAATTGTTTTCACATTATAAGCAAAGATGGATAGTGGCTAGCAGTGAAATCCAGGACTCGGCCACTGAGTCCTGATAGCCACTTGCTTGTGTGATGGGGTGAAGTTTAAATTCACTTAGTATTGTTTGTTTGAATCTTCCCATCGAGTGGATAACGCGATGGCGTTTGAAGCGAGGGTACTGGGTTCGAGTCTCAGAGTAAACATCAACTCTGAGATGCAGGTACATCCAGCTGACGAGTCCCGAATAGGACGAAACGCGCGTCCTGGATTCCACTGCCAGCCACTATCCATCTTTGCTTATCATGCTTGTGAATCAAGGCTATATCGATGCAATACGCACAGTATGCACATATGCCAATAAGAGACTGACCAGTTACAGTCCTAACACATCGATGGGAAGATTCAGACAAACAATACTAAGTGAATGTTTTCACATTATTTTATTTTTAATAATTATTAATATTATCATTGTCTACTCTTACCCCCCCCATTTCCTGTCTAGTTGACCTTTTATTTTTATATATGTTATAATGATAGAATCTTTATTATTAAACGTCATTCATAAACAGAGATGGATAGTGGTTAGCAATGGAATCAAGGACACGCATTTCGTCCTATCTGGGATTGCTTAGATGGATGTACTGACATTACAGAGTTGATGTTCATACACGGACTCAAACTCAGTATTGTTCGTATCAAACGTCATCATGTTATCTACCTAGCTACTGAGTCCTGATAAGTACTAGCTTGTGAAATCAGGTGAATTTTGAATTCATTTTTGTATTGGTTGTTCGGATCTTCAAATTGATGTTTAGGACTGAAGTGATCAATCTCCTAATGGCGTAGGACGAAATGTGTGTCCTTGATTCCACTGTTGGTCACCATCCATTTCTGCTTATAATGTTCGATATATATATATATATATATATATATATATATATATATATATATATAGAGAGAGAGAGAGAGAGAGAGAGAGAGAGAGAGAGTGAATAAGAGCTTGCAAATATGTTGGGGAGTTCTATATATGTCGAAGGTACATCCACTTCTTGTGTTCTGCCAAACTCTAATCTTCTGAATTCTTCATATGTCTTCTTTCTCTTTTCAAATTTATTTCATTGGATTATAGTCTTTCAATAACATCTATAAACCCTAATCTTTCGGATTACTGCTTATATTCTTACTACTTCTACCACTATGGGGTTTGAATCGACAACTGCATCTCTATGCTAATGTGGTATGGCAACTCGAACTGATGTACGTATGTACAAAGTTCTACGTTGTGACTGACTGACTGACTGGGGAGATCTAGTGAATTTGGTCATTCAATGTGAAGGTTTATAGAAAATATATAAATTGATAATTAAGATAAGAATGTATTTCACCTTATAACTTCAAAATGAAAAGTAATGAATGAATGTTGTATGTAAAATGGTTAACACTACACAAAAGATGATTAGATTATAGAAATGTAATCTTATGAGAATGTATATAATTGTGCTCTTATTATAACTAATAATGTGTAACAAATCACCATATGTGCATTAGATGAACTTATATATTTGTCACAAGTGTTTTATTCCCACTTACACTTCCTTCATGTTTAGCTTTCAAACTGTCAACACGAATTTTGGATGGTCGTTTAGGTAGATTACAAGTAGGTAATTTTTGACTGCATAATGTATAGTTAGTATGAATATAATTCTGTTTAGAAAATTAAGTTTAGAAATACACATAAATAGGATATAAAAATTAAACCTGTATATCATTATGTAAGTGAAGAAGGTATATAGATTTTACCTATATATGAATGATATCAATAATAGGGGTTTGTGAAGATTGTAGTAATTTAATAGTTGAATTCATAAGTTGATTATAGCTAGACAACCATGGAAAACTTGAAAGCACTGGATGGCCGTTTCGTCCTAGTATAGAACTCCTCTTTAGTTTTGAGATTAGTCGTTCGCTTGCGAGAGCGAAGGTCCTGTATTCGAATCTCGAAAACTGGATAGTGAATGCGTACTGCTGAGAAGTTTAGTGTTTCCAAGTTTTCCATGGTGGTCTAACTTTCACCGACTCATGAATTCAACTATCAAATATGAATAATGCTTTCTTAAATCCATAATTCAAATAATGTGTTGTGTAATAAAAGATTATTCTTTATATACCTAGTGTGACAGTTTTGTGAAGCATTTCTTTGATTCAGAAAGAAGCTAAAATTACTTTTAAAGTTTCTCAGCAATGAATGGCAAACTTAGTCATATTTAGAGTTGAAATAATTAAAGCTAATAAAACTCCTAAATATGCCCTAGAGCAGATTTCTAATCAAGCAGTTAAATGTACAAATATATCAAATCAATGCTAGTATATTCATTTCTCTCCGAATCAAGTGTAATACCTGGAATATGAAAACCAGAAGCCAGAATTTCTGTGGAAATTTCATCAAACCTACGAGTAGACATTATCACCGAATGAAACAAGGTATAAAATACTTAGAATATCATGGTAAAATTGCATACTATCCAATCTTCTAATTCTATGTAAATTAATTTCATAAATATTAACTTCATCAAATGAACACAGTAAGTTCAGTCAATGATTCTTAAAATCAGAAGGGGTTCTTGTGGAGATTTCAGTATTTTCATAGTTGAAAACATGAGTCAATTGAAACTAGACCACCATGGAATATCTGGAGGCACTGGATGTCAGTTTCATTCTATTGTGGGACTTCTCAGCAGTGCGCATCCACGTTTCCGCACTCGCAAGATTCTAACCCAGGACCTAACAGTCTCGCGCCGGAATCTCCACAAAAACCCCTTCTGATCCATAATCATATACTCACTAGTGACTGACTTCAAAGGATGTTTCCTTGAATTCCAGTTGGAAGCAGTGACCAGTGGAGTTCAACCAAGTCTGTTACAGAGATATCAACTCACTGAAAACAATTGGTAAACAGTTGTTCAAACATCGTGGATTCTTAAAATCAGTCTAAAATATTTTTGTAAAAGACATTATTATGGGAGTACTGATTAACTCCTCTACACGGTTTAACGACAAATAATCAATCGTTACATATGATCTTATTTTATGAAACTTAGTCTACCAAAATCATTACTTGTATACTTTATAGCTTCGATTTCAGAAACCTTCATTTCAATAGTTGGATAGAACCTATCATAATCGTATATTTTATTTGGAGGAATGAAGCTTCTTACAAGTACTAATATGGAACTTTGGTCCTCCGATCTAAAACTGTCAAAGATAAGATGAGTTAAACTATGGACTACTCTTACCTAAATACAAAATATCTATTTTACAATGAGTTATATAATTCAATAATTTAGTTGATCCATCCTCTTTGTGATTACATGAAGATGATAATGAAACGAATATGATAGTTTATAGTTAACCTTTTACATAATCATCTACTCAATATCTACCGCCAGTTTACTTACTGTTATAAACAGTAAACTTTATACTAGCTTGTTAAGCTTTTGAATAATAAAGTAAGGAATTTTACTTACAGGCGCAGATTGATTTATAATCTTTGGTAATGGTACAGGTTTCTTTCTGAAAGATGGATGAGAATTAGTCCGTATGGTATTTGTGCAATTTTTTGATCGATTAGAATATACAAATTGCATTTTAGGTTGAGTATTTGTAAATAGACCAGAAGTTAATGGAATGCGTACTTCAACATGATTCATTGGAAATATTCCAACAGCACCAGTTCTTATAGATCTTCCTTTATACCATGATTCATCAACAATATCTTCAAGCATAATTATGTCACCAACCTTTAAAATAATTTTAAACAAAACTATCATTTTCAGCATATAGTAACTAAATTCAATATTTTAAGACCTTTTATATTATGAGTATATATCAATATCTATTTTATCAGTTTTGGTTGCAACAAAAAGTACGGTTTCCTCTTCAATGATCGCGAGGACATTAGGTCGAATAACAAAGTATATGAATTTGAACTACTCACTAATGTTCACTAACGGTAAATATAGAAGATTCAGATTGGTATTAAGTCTGGAAAAGTAATTATGGAAAGCATGTTCACTCTTGGTGGACATCATTGTATTCAACTAACCTGATCATATGACGACGAAGTGTAACATCCCATATCCTACCGAAAATCCATTAATTATTTTGGATGAATAGGGAATAAAACTACAAATACTTTTCTCAAATTTAGTGATCAATACGACCCAAAGATTTGAAAAATAAGATAAATAAGTAGACATAGCTACTATTCTGGACAAAATGGTACTGTTCAAACTGGGATTATTCATAATAACTTACTGATCATCTTATCATTCAACGTTGACCCGGTTAACGTTTTTTACAGAGTTTGTTTTCTATGGAATGGGGTCTCTAACCCCATGCTCAACCCTCCTCCTTTATCCGGGCTTGAGACCGGTAGTAGCCCCCAGAGGAGCTACAGGCAGGTTGGAGAATGCTGGTCGGCGGTCTATGCTCCATTGGGAGTAACAGGCGTAAGTAAGTAAGTAAGCAAGCAACATTAATCAGATAACAGCCAACTGAAATAAATTCAGTAGTGGTCAGTACAAGATGTACTATCAAATAGAAACTAGTAAACCAAATCATTTAAAGGTTCAGATTTCCACATTTGAAACCAAAATTTTAAAAAAAATCCATTGGTTAAATACCATCCTAGCTTTTTGATCTTCGTGAAACCCTTATGGATTACTTTTGATTTTTCTCTGAATGTTGAACTGCTTATTACCTGACCGCTCTTGTTTTTCCTCCTCGATTAATTAGTTTATATTTATCTTCTTTTTAGGTTTTCTTTTAGATAGTAATATTTCAAACTTCTGAACATTCAGGAATTCTATATCTGTTTATTTGTGTGATTATTTTAGTGATCTAGTATCCACATTAACAATCGAACAAATCTATACGATTAAAAATGAGGCCATCAACCAAATCTACTTGAATAAGTACATTCAGTAATTAGAAATTACAGAAGGAATTTATGAATACATACAGTAGTCGTGAATTCGATTACTTGACCTCTATTATTTCTAATGTTTATGAACTACTCATAGCTATTTAAAGCTGGAAGTGACAAGTCTTGCTGATTGAACGCTATACTCGGATCCTAAGCTAGTCTCGTAACCCTCAAGCTAAATCGACATAACGACTTGAACGCGATAGAGAAAAGGCGCAAAATTAGCAAGAAGCAATTTACCCCAAAGGTTCATTTATGTACAGAAAATATAGGGTTTTCATCGTATTTTAGAAGTCCTTGGGTTTTCCTGAAAATTATAGAATGCTACTAAACATAGTAGCAGTATAGTAATCAGCCAATCAGAACCTCTGCATGTGGGTTTTCATTTTCGCGATATTTCTAGCAAAATTTCCAATCAAACGCTGATTGGATAAAATACTTCTTAATGTTTCCTGAGCTTATCATGTCTATTGAGAGAAACTTTCTGGATCATCCCAACAGGATGTACACACGATTCTCGTTTCTTCGAGCGCAAACTGAGAAACACGAGCAGTAATACTAGATTACTAGTTGGCAAATTATAAAAAACGTTTCGTAATAAGTTAACCATCTACTAAGTAGCAGATTATATTAAGGTCATGTCCAAATTTCCATGAAGAGTCATTTCCTCAGCACGATGGAACAGACAAGTCATTTAATATCTATATGCAATATGATACTGATTACAACAAATGGAACTCCTCAGCCATGCTCATCCGCTATCCTACTCGCGGAATTCGAACCCAGGGCCTTCGGTATCGCACGTAAACGCTTAACATCTATACCACTTAACCGGCATCCAACGGTGTTAATGTCTAACTTCAACCAATCAATTATGATTAAAGCTTGCTGATTTTATATTCTCTAGTTCACATAATTTATGAAGTAAATCAACAATCGAGATTAGCAAACTACATGTTATTTTAAGGATTTATCTGAAGTATACATATATGTACCTAGACCTTCGTACACAAATATAAATTGACAAACAGGATAAATCATCTTGCACTTACTTCAAATTCTAAATCACCATCCACTCCAGTTTCAAAATTATACAAAGCAATAACATGTGGTTGACCCATATGTGCATATTTTTCAAATGATTTTATATTAAGTCCACCATTGAATCGTTCATCTATTGATAACGCCGATGAAGAAGATAAACTTGCAATACTTGATCTTTGAGCATTTCGATGATTTTTTGATGAATTATCTAAACTGTTTTCAACAAAACATAAAAATGAGACAAATCATTAGAACTGCGTTATAGACTGCAAACAATAAATAACCATTTTTCAGAACAAACAAAGTAACTCTTTCTCATTCAGATATCATAATGAAAGTCGCTTAGCTTATCAATACTCCTCTTTACAATAAAACAAAACTAATAGGTGCCACATTTCAAGCGAAATGTTATTATGTAACTATTATTTTATCTACCTGATGTTCCATACGTTATGCTACTGAGTCGTATAACTAGTGAGCAACACAGTATTCAATATCAGGATTTTTAATCAAGTGATGTGGTTAGATATCAGTAGAATGATAAGTAACTCAGTCGTACTTGAATTTTGACGAGTTTAGTTGATAATATTAAAAAATTTTGTAAACGTTTGCCACTAAAAAATCTACGTACATACTACCCTTTTCATTACAGAAGCAAAATATCACTTGCTGAGACAACACTGTTTGATTTCACAGAGTCATGAACACAAAGAACTATACAGACCCATTCATGGACAATTTACTTCTGAATCTAGGGATTATTTGCTGATCCAAAACTCTATTTGTAACCTGATTCACATTTATTTCACATATGCATAGGCCACAAATCTCAGAAAAGTTATATACTACAAAACTGATTCATCAGAATAACTCAACTTACACTTGTGGATTATTATTAAATACCCACGGCGCATGAACATGTTTATTCTCAGCTGAAGCAGCTCGATAAGATCCAGAAAATGGTGAAGGCCTAATAGGTTTAGCGAGAACACTCTATGGTAATAAAAAATCATACACAAGACAAAGTAGAAAATATATAACATCTCATGTACGAAATTTATTCAGCTGTTAGGAACTAATTGATCAAACCATTAACTGTTATTAGGAAATTGATAGTTAACTAAAATATAGTTAAATTTTAAAACAACAACCGTATGAAGTTTTCATACTATATTATGCACTCGATTGTGATTGATCAACCTTGTCCCATCAGAAGGCGTTTGAAACATAAGTACAAATAACGTACATATATCAAGTAAAGTCATATGAACAAAAAAATCCACAAATTTCATCTACCAATAATGATCCATTAATTGAATTTCCTTAAAAACGAACACAACATAAGTGATGATGAAGTACTACTTAACTTAATAGTCGAATTCATGAGTCAATTTGAGCTATACCAACAATGAAAACCTGGAAGCACTGGATGGCCGTCTAGTGCTTGTATGGGACTCCTCAGCGGTGAGCGACCACGATCCTACTTGCGGAATTCGAACCCAGGACCTTCGGTTTCGCACGCGAACGTCTAACCTCTGGACCACTGAGCCGGTATCCAACTGTGTTAATGTCCAACTTCAACCAATCCGCGATATTGCGTGACTGTCCAACTTTGTCTTCAGTAAGTAACCGCCTCACAACAGACACGGTTAAACTCCACTGGTCACAGCTTCTCTCTAGTACTCCAGGAAAAACATTTTGAAGGAAGTCCCTAATGAGCTCATGATGATTATTATTACTGAACTATCAAATGATTTGATGGTAAGAAGTTTTAAAAGACGTTTTAATAATGTTGGGTGATTGTAGTCATCCATCAAAATGAATTTAAGATAGATTTATATCCTTGTTACAAACAGTTACAATGAATTTTACTGTTTAGAAAGCTTAAAACTATTTTGTTCATTCTACCCCATGTGTCTGTCGATGTTTTACTGATTCCTGTAATTTATCAGTGATAGACTTAGCCATTCATTGATAAGTTCCCTAACATTAACTATGAGTAAAATAGACCTCTTAAAAGTCTAGCTTTTTGAGGCCAAAAGTATTCATTGCAGATATGAATAACCAAACGTAAAACCCAGGTTTGCCGCGTCATACTGGCATCTTAAATTCACTCAGCTCTAAAACAAATTAATGACGTGTAAGCATATTCAGAACATACTTTTAGTAAGATACAAATCATTTGTTGATGATAAAAATGTTTTCTTTAGTATCTTTTTAAATTTGTTCATATTTCAAACACTGACTGCTAATTGTTATATATGTTAGATAACCAAAATCTACTACCATGACTGTAGTACATTCTCAATTTCATTCGAAACATCATTATTAACATGTCTTACAAAGTCATATTGTGGTGAGAGTTACTTATATCCACATAAGTAGTATATTACGATGGTCGGGTCTTGAATGTATTTCAAATAAGATCGATAAGGAAAGAACACGATGGAAGCGCAACTGGTAGGAAAATACATGAACAATAATAATCGGAGACGATGAACTGATATATACAGAAGGAACGGTCAAGATTGAGTCGATTGATTGCAAATTAACTATTTACTATATGGTTCTCATATTTTATTTGGATATTCTGTAATTTTGTCCTATAATACATTCGATTATTCCCCACCCGTGTTTTTGTTCACTACAATATCAGTAAAATGAACTTGCTTTCAATATAGTCCGACAGATAAGTATGCTTTGTCACTTATCAAGATTATGATACTACTTATAATAGTAGTTTAAAGGTTTGATTCTATTTACTAGTTGATAATTCATACTCTCTTAAAGTCAGTAATCTGAGTGTTAATTACAAATATAAAATTTATCGAACGTTAACTATAGACACTAACTATAGACTTAGTTTGGCATAGAAAAATTGTTGCATAACATATCAAACTTATAAAAGAATGAATTATCATTATAGTTTCAATGAAATGAAATATTGCCTGAATATGATAAGTTAATTACCACTAGATATTGTTATGTAATATGACTTCAATGTAACTTTAAGTATTCTACTATTCTTATTTATATAGTTGTGATCATGAGTCAATTGAAGCTAGACCATCATGGAAAACCTGGAAACACTGGACGGCCGTTTTGTCTTATTGTAGGACTCCTCACTAGTGAGCATCCACGATCCCTCTTCGCGAGATTCGAACCCACGACCTTCGGCCTCGTACGCGAACGTATAACCACAAGACCACTGAGCCGACATCTAGTGGACATCACAAAAAATTACTCTAAAATTACTAACAATAATAATAGTAGATGCAGATAACACATGGTATTTTCAAACTATGACTTTTACATTTGATACTATTCCGTCTATATTTCAAATAGGCTACTAGTAAATGACAGAATTCATTTTTTCTGTGTTCATATTTTAAGAAAAGAGAAAAAAGAAAAGAAAAACTAAATTTACGATTTACTTTGATGTTACAGCTTATTAATGGCATTACTTCTAGATTATGTAGTGAATTAATGATGATTGTAAGTAGAAAAGATAAGAGTACATGAAATAGTTCTACTAACAATAAAGATGTCTATTATTACAGATTTAATGAACACCTTTCAAAATGTCTTTATATGTTCCTAATATGTATATAGATGTATATATGTAGTTTCTAGCCTACATCATCTTCCAAAATTTCCATCATTCAATCTTTTTTGTTGTTGTTGTTTGACTGACATTTATCAAAACTTTTACTTGGTGAGAATTTTTAAATAATTTTTTTTGCAAACTGTGAAAATATTGTAAAATCATTTGTATTGAATGTTATAAATTGTATTAATGTATAAATGGTAATAAATAAACCTCACCTAGAGAAAAAGATTGTTGAAATAGAATCAACGAGGGTAACCTAGATACATAGTTTATTGACAGTCATCTTTGATTAAGTTATATCAGACAAAGCGTATAATATGGTTAATCTCTTTAAACTAGTAGCGACACCAAATGTTGTGAACAGAACACTAGTTAGGGACAATCGAATGTATTTAAGCAAACATTACAGACTATCTCGGTAAATTCTGAAAAACCAAACAATGAACAGTCAATTTGCAAATTAACAACCAATTGTTTCAATCTTCACTGTTTCTTCTCTTATTCCATTGCTCATGCATTTTCCAAACGATTGCGCTTCATTTCAGTTCTTTCCTCATCGGTCTTCTGTGAAAATACATTCTATGTCTAACCGACACAATATACTACTTATATAGATATAAGTAGACCACACCACATTATGACAGATAGCAAGATACTATTTTGTTGCCCAGTAATTGGTTATCACTAACGTGTCTTCATGAGAATTTATATAGAGCCTGTTTCTCAAATCAGTTATGCAAAATCGAGTAACGATCGATTAAACTGTTATATATATATACTGATTTTTATATTATTTTACGAAATGAGTTTGATGAATGTGAAGTATCTGTAACTACATCAGTATGCCTTCATCTCGATCACAACTTTTGAGGTTTTTCAGATAAGTTAAAATTATCCTGTTTCTATTAACTTGACATTGTTTGTTTGAATCTTTACATTAATGTTTAGGACTGCAACTAGTCAGTCTCTTATTGGCATATGTGCATACTGTGTCTCGCCTCGATATAGCCTTAATTCACAAGCATTGTAAGCAAAGATGGATAGTGGCTAGCAGTGGAATCCAGTTACAGTCCTAAACATCAATGGGACGATTCAAACAAACAATACAAAGTGAATTCAAACTTCAACCCATTGCATAAGTAAGTGGCTATCTGGACTCAGTAACTAAGTGGATAACATGGTGGCGTTTGAAGCAAAAGGTACTGGGTTCGAGTTTCTCCCAGAGTGAACATCAACTCTGAGATGCAGGTAGATCCAGCTAACAAGTCCCAAATAGGACGAAACTCGCGTCCTGGATTCCACTGCTAGTCACTATCGATCTTTGTTTATATCCTTTTTTTCTTTGTAAAATTTTGTTAGAAATACTTGTAGGTAAATAACTGATGAGAAATTTATTTATATTTGATAACATCATGAATAACGACGACTCAAGACTATATACTCAAATATCATGTTTTAATCAACATTCATTTCAGTTTCTTGCCTAATACATTTTTTATCACCACATTTCATAGTAACATTTAATTTATTATGTATTCGCTTACTCGGTTGCCTATTCAAAATCAGTTTCAAAATGAATAAAGCTGAATTTCAGAAGTAACTAATGTATTTTGATTCCATACCTTGAAGTATTTGCTGTCTTATATATATATATATAGTTCCGCCTGTAGCCCCTCCGGGGGTTAGTGTCGGTTCCAAGCCCGGATAAAGGAGGAGAGTTGGGTATAGGGTTAGCAACCCCATCCCGTAGAAAACTAACTAGCTAAAAAAAACGCTGACCAGAAAAAAAATATATATCACGAGAATTTAGTAAATACTTACTGGTCCACGTTGTTCGCTTGTAGAACGTTCACCGACCATTTTTAGATAACTCGGATTGGTTATCTAAATTGTTAAAGATGAGAAGTAATATAACAATGTAATAGCGATACAAAACGGCAATGTGAAATCATTCCAAGATGTATTTTCATTAGAATATAAACTTTACTAAACAGTAGAGAGTGTAATCGACATTTAAAAGAACTTATAAGTGAGGTTCAAATATATTAAACCAATCAAGTAAACGAATAAATATACACAGTGAGCTTGTATAGAATATTTGTTTCAATAATCTGAATAAACTGTTCATTTGGAAGTTGTCTTCAATATAGTATTTGAATTGCTGATGAATTCTCGTTTTACTTTTGATGAAGATCATGATCTACGAATAACGTCTAGTAATTTTGATTTATCTTTCCATCAACTGTAAATGATAACAGTTACTATTAAAACTAGCATTAAGGAACCGAAATTCTAGTTCAGGCTTATATCCTTGTAGACACAACAAGAAATTCAAAGAAGCATAGAAAAGAAGCAGTAGATCTATAGGGCTGATATTATTGACCATGGTTATCGCCTGTGGTATTTCGAAAGAACTCCTAAAAATGGTCATTCAAAAATCATCGATAGGTCCAAGATAAAATAAAAATTAGTATAGAATTAAAGGTACCCGTTGCATATAAACTCCTTATAACTGTACAACCAGACAGCCAAAATTAATATGTATTCATCCCAAATACTAATTGCCATATATTTCCTACGAATATGACGAAAAGGGGTCTCTAGTGATCTCTAGAATGTACGAACATATAACTAACAAAATGAAAATTAGATGACATGATCTGCATCACTAACAAATCTACAGTATAAATATAAATTTAGGTTTGCACGTATTTGAGGCATTATTCTTTGTAGAAAAACATCAGTCCATCTATCAAATCAATATTTATTAATTTTAAAGAAATAGCTAATCATGAATAGACATATTGTAGTGAACGAGAATACAAATGGGAACAGTCGAATGCATTGCAATGCCAAATATACAGAATTACTCTGTGAAATCTGAGAACCATACAGTGAATATCAGTCAATCATCGCAGACTTCATTGTTCTTTCGTTTCTACACCAATCATTTTCATCACTCCTTCTTTTTCCTTCGATCTTCTTAATCTTCTGACACCAGACATTTCACTTTTGACTGATGATACATACTACTTATATCTGTTGACATCATTAGCATACACCATAATATTGTGAAACGAAATATACAGAAGTAATATTCAGTAATAAATGTAATTTCTAATGAAAGTGATATCTTATTTCAATAAATTTTTTTCGATTTCTTTTGCATCAGTCAGATTATAAATTTCATTTTGATTCTATTGGAAAAACATGTCTTTATTGCTTTGAGTTCAACCATCATACACGCAATAAAATTAGTAAAGGTCTATCTTGTTCTAATACGGTATGACAGTACTGCTTAGTTCTTTGTACTGATAAGTTCTCCATGGATTATTTCCTCAAAAGAACATGAAAATATATTGTATGACACTTAAAGGTAGTGTTTTTCCCCTGAGTTTTGCTGGAACTGACCATTTTAGGATAACATAGCTGCATTCACTTTCATATCTTGTAATTAGAACAAAGAATCTCATATCATGCTAAGACAACAGTCAGTATGTATGTCGTAATCATCATTAACTCAAAAGCAATCGATTGTTTAGTTGACTGGAAAATAAATTATAATGAATTGCGACAAAACTGACGGGCACAGAAATCTTTTTCAAAGTCTCACAATGTCATATTAATACAATGCATTACTTAAATAACATACAAGTATTCATTAGGTAAGTTGTCATTTCCGTAAGTATATGAAGTCAAATTATAAAACATTTATGAACCTATTATTTATTTCAATTGGTATTGTTTGTTTGAATCTTCCCATTGATATATAGGACTGCAATTGATCAGTCTCATCCTGTGCGGATTGCCTCAATATTACCTTATGTCACGAACATTATAAGCAGAGATGGATGGTGACTAGCAGTGAAATCCAGGACGTGCACTTCGTCCTATACCTAAACAGCGATGGGAAGATTCGAACAACCAATACAATACTTCACCCGATTTCACAAGCTGATAGTTATCAGGACTCAGTAGGTAAATGGATAACATGATGACATTTGGGGCGAACAATATTGAGTTTGAATCTCTGTATGAGCATCAACTCTGTGATGTCAGAACATCCATCTAAGCAATCCGAGATAGGACGAAATTCGCTTCCCTGATTCCATCGCTAACCACCATACATCTTTGCTTATAATGCTCCAGACAACGGTTTATTTCTACAACACATAATACTTTGATATTAAGGAATCAGCACAATCCTATTCTTCATGTAATCAAAATAAATGAATCTTATATTAGTTAGTAGCTCTCTGATAATTTTAGTTAGGACAAACACAAAAACACATCAAAATTTCATGAGCTGATAACACTGAATGTAATCTCCCATTGACTACTTCATTATTGTTCTTCTCATGAGAAGACCTATATTATATAGAAAAATACCTTATAAGTGGTAATTTTTCTACGCGTAAGAAGTTGAATAATAAAAACTTTCTTAGTATAAATGGCTTAAAAACATTTTGGAATGAGTAAAAATTTAACACCCAAGGGTCACCTAACACACTGGTACCATAAAATTAATTCTATACTATGGAGTGAAATTAATGTGAAGTAGTGACAACTGATTTTCAAAAAGCTAGTTCATAACAGTTTTGAAAAGTAAAAGATAAATGACAACGTCTACATCGTACAGGAACATAACAAAGATATATCCACAACCTACAAAGCAATATTATATGATGGTAACACTGTTTCGTCACAGTTTAAATTTTTCTTGTGTATGACATCAGTTTCAAAAATACAATTTGAGCAAAGATATTTTCTTTTTACACTAGACCTTTATCTTTGCTTCAATAGCAAACTCTTTTAAAGTTATTTCTGCATCATTGTAGTGGCTGGTACTTATCAGTCTTTCTCTTTGCTATAAAGAAGAATAGTGATAATATGACTACCAGGTCTTGGGTTCGAATCTCGTGAGGCGGAATCTTGGATGCTCACTGGTGAGGATTCTCACAATAGGATGAAACGGCCGTCCAGTGCTTCCAGGTTCTCCATGGTGGTCTAGCTTTAATTGACTCATGATCTCAACTATTGAAATCAATATTTTTTATCCCACAATAGCAGTAAAACTGTTAAGTACATTTAATGGTAGAGAAAACTATCTGGCTACATTTACTTTATTTCTGACTGATTAATTTATGTCACTGTTACAGTAAAATTATGAAAATAGATCAAAATTCAAGTATAGATAATTCTGAAGTCTATTTCGTAAGATATTTTGTTAAGCAATATATATAAAGCAACTCTTTAGTGTATAATGTAATTGGCCTTTAATCAATATTTTAACGACTGTGAACATAATTTACCGTATGTGATTTAGACTACTGTAAAATACGTCATTAACTGTTGTACAAAAATGGTATCTCAAAGCTACGTACACAAACACACAGTTAAATAATAAGTGCCATAAATTTACTCATTGTCTTAAAAAATTTAAAAAGTTACTGCCCAATAGTGATAATAACTTTCATTCTACAACCTAAACTTCATACCTAGTTTCTAAAACCTTAAATATTCTTCAATCATCTAAATAAACCACTATTGCAAGCATTAAAAGTTGTCATGCCACGAAGTGCAAGTTCGAGTTATACATAAATTCAAATTATTTATCACAAGGGGGTTTTGTGGAGATTTTAGTAATTTTATATAGTTAAGATCAAGAGTCAAGTGAAGTTAGACCACCATGAAGAGCCTGAAAACACTGGACGACCGTTTCGTCCTACTGTGGGACTCCTCAGCAATGTGCATCCACGACCTCGCCTCGCGAGCGAGATTCGAACCCAGGACCTACCAGTCTCACACCAGAGCACTTAACCGATAAACCACTGAGCCGGCATCCATAGGTGTTAATGTCTAACTTCAACCAATCCACGAAATTGAGCAACCAATCACCAATGTCTTCAGTGAGTTGATATCTCCCAACAGACCTGGTTGAACTCCACTGGTTACTGCTCTGGTGCGAGACTGGTGGGTCCTGGGTTTGAATCCCGAGAGATGGGTTCGTGGATGTGCACTGCTTTGAAGTCCCACGATAGGACGAAATGGCCGTCCAGTGCTTCCAGGTTTTCCATGGTGGTCTAGCTTCAATTGACTCATGATCTTAACTGTATTAAATTATTTACTTGAAAAACCAATATACTTAGATCAATACTATGACATTCCATCATTAATGATGTCGACAACGTAATGTGAGTCTAAACGTATAAATATTTCGACACACTTCAAATTTACAACAGGATCTAATCGAAAACAATTTTGTTCACTTTTATATGTTGTTCTTCACCATATTTGACCTTATTTATTTCCACACAATCTACACACACACACACACACAATTTTGACCTCACTACTTCATATTACAAATGCATACATTTTTTCATACCCACATTCTGACGCACAATTTAATACAGTGACCAGTCATTCAAATTCACCTTGACCATGAATAACTTCACATTGACATTTCTATGATTTTTATTGTACTAAAAATATTCTACATTGTTTCCTTTGTACTATTTAAACTTGTGATAATTTAATTCGGTTATTTATTTAGACTAAAGAAGTGGCCAATATTAAGTGACGAAACGTCAGAAATATTATTTTTCTACAAAAAAAAGATACATATTGTAGTGAACAGAACACAACTAGGGACAATTGAATGTATTTAAACACAAATTATAGACTATCTTACTAAATTCTGATAACCATACAGCAAACAATTAATTTGGAAAATAACAATCAATAGTCTCAATCTTCACTGTCCCTTATGTAAATATCAGTTCATCTTCTCTAATTTTATTGTTCATGCATTTTCCTACCATTTGCGCTTCATTTCAGTCTTTTCCTTATCGGTCTTATGTCAAAATACATTCTGTCCGACC